TAGCAGTCTCATCCTTATGTAGGAACTCTCCCGCACACACCTACAGGGGCAATCTGCATTCTGATTGGTTGATACACACTGGAAACTAAACTTCCTATTGGCCAGATAGATTAACTAGCTTCCCTAATCTCTGTTTCTTAAAAAGGCATCCCCATTTTATGTGGGTTATAGGTGGTTGGCTGCAGTGTGGACTGGTACACTTGCACCACTATTTTCTGTCGAAAGAAATTAGCCAAAAGTTTAGCCAACTTGTGTGAAAACCTTGAGGGAAGGATAAACACAATGCTTACCCAAAGTCATACAGTTTAAAACACAGTTATGCCAAGTACTAAGGACATTAACGTATACTTCGCTCACTCTTTATTCTGGCATTTACCAAATATAAATCATGTTGGTAACCCTAACTGGCATGAAACGGGGGGAAAAGTTGTGTATTTCTACTTAATATATATTAATAGTGTGACACAGTAACTGTATGTCATCATTTTGGTTTAGCTATCACTCATCAGATATTGGTGAGAGTCAGAAGTTTGACATTATCTTGTAAAAGGTCTTAGTTTTGTTTTTCAGGAATGTTTTTATTTAAACATGGATTGCTGTATTTTATTACATGAAATAACAGAAAATGGTGTTATTTAATCTGGAAGTCATGTGCAGACCAAAACGCAGACCAGAAAGGTGAATTCTGGTTCACATAAAAATCTATGTCTCGACTTGGTTGAAATAAACTCCCTGGTTCAAATGCATATGTGGATGCAAGAGGACCACAGACCACTCCAAAAGCAAGAAGCACAAATAATTGTGGGTAAATACAACCAAAGCAAAGACTCGCATGTCTAACGCTAAAGGGAGAAATGGCTCCTGGTCTTTTGTCAACGACAAAAGAGAAATCTTACAACTGCTATAATCTAACAGAGCTCCATTTTTCTTTATATTTTGTGAAGTAAAAAGTTGTAGTCACTGTTGTAACAGAGCCTTTAAGTACTTGAATGTACTTCTCCACTATTGTACATTTTTGTTTAATGTAATCTAATATTACTTATGTTAAAATACGTCCTGGAAAAAGTAAGCCAAAAGTAAGTCATCTTTTATTCTGAAACCAGAAAATGTCACTGCTTAAAAAATGGAAACAACACACTCACAAAAAAAAATCAAATGCATAGTCATAGTAATTATAAATGTGTAAGATTACAATATATCAAGCTTACTTATGTGCCACATCTACAAACAACAATAGCTGACCAAGGTGATTTACACTGTAAGAAATCCAAAACTCAAGCAAAATAATCAATTAAAATGTCCCAAACATTTTTATGCACAGAGATGTGCTGCTTAACTAGAATTACAAACCAAAAAAAGTCACAAAAAATGAGCAGATGTTTAAAGTTATCAACAGTTTGAGCAGCTCTGATTTTCAAAGACACCTTATGGGTCATGACAGAAAAAGTTTTTCACTCTGAATCCGGGGTTGCCTATTAGCAGTTAACCAGTGGATAGAAGAACTCTGTCTGGAAAAAACAGCCACTAAATGAAAATTACACCTTTTTTTTTTTTACACTTTCTGACAGTGGTTTTATTAGTTCCCTCACAGACTTTCCTATTCATACTTTAACTTGAGCATAAACATCTTCCTCAGTTTTCAGCTGTTTCTTCTTCATCCCTCTTGTGCTTTTTCTTCCAGAGAATTGCAAAGCAGCATAGTCCAGATTCTCGTTATCATTGTCCTTTACCGAAAACAAATAGATCAATATATGGTCACGTTACTACATGAATTTGTTGGAAATTATTTAAATTAATCTTTACTTACAGTGTATTCTCCTGATTCAGTCATGTTATCATGTGTGGCTGGTAAAGAGGTGCTTCCTGTCCCTAAATATAAAGACAATCAGAAATATGTTGCATTCAAACACAGAAGATATACTGAATTTTGAACTTGAGATAAAAAAAAAGTAAAAATAAAACTGTTTCAAAAAATGTAAGAAAACGAATTCTTAAATCTAGTGATATTTTATATTTTCTCCAGAGTATGTTAAAGAGTTTTAAACAGATGAACGAGATATTAAACTAGAGGCTTTAGTAATGTTATATATCGGTTTAATTTTTTTTCTTAACTAGTCAGTTATCACATTGCAAACCATATTTACCTGCTTACACATTTTGGTAAAACATTTTTCAGAGCATAATGCACCATTAATTGACAGTTCTAGGTTCAGGAACCTCTTGTAGTGTTGGACCAATCTATATATATCAATATGTGTGTGTGTATATATGTATAGTCAAGAAATAGTTTCTTAATTACTTCATCGTATATTTAAGATATACTTGAAAAACCCAGGCAAGTTGAATGTTCTTGTTATTCAGTTTGAGTAATAATGGTTATTAAGATATTTTACCTATTCAAATTCAATAAACAATACTTACCTTTAACTTGTTTGCATGCTGCCTTTGGGGTTCGGTAGCAGATCAAAATAACATTTACAATGACCGAAATGACAAAACATGTCATTGTTATCACCAGCGCATTATTTTTTGGGTCTTTTGTTTGCTCTACACAAAAAAGACAGAAACATACTGTCACTTTAAAAAAAGTACTCTTTTTACTAATACTTTCTATCACTTTATTATCACCTATTTTTTCTAGTCTAAAAATCATACCAGGTTGTTGATTCTGTTTTGCTCCAGTTCCAAGGAAAATCTCTCCGCATGAGGCAACAGCACAATAATATTTCCCAGTATCAGACGCTCTGATGTTCTTGGAGAACATGCACCTCCTCTGCAAATTGGATTTCTTTTGACATTCATCATTTCTGTCTCCATGAACATAGATGACATTTGGATGAGATTGATCTGATTTGACCTTGAACCAAAACACATTGATGTCTTCTGGACATGCATTGTGGTTAAAGTCAGACATCACCGAACATTGAAGAGTCAAGGAGTTGCTTTCGTGATCTCGATCTGATGCTTTTGCCTCCTGCACAATTTGGTACTTTGGTATATTTGCAGAGTTTCCTGAAGCACAGAACACAGATTTTGTTAATTGTAACTATTGTGACATATGACAGACATTTATTGAGATGTTGGTTTGTTATCAAATAATGCTAGTTAAAACAATATCATAATACTTCCTGTAGGAAATAATGTTAAACCAGAGACAGATGCTTTTATGAGGTATACAAAGCTACAGAAAATAAATTTTTAAAACCTGACAATATATTTTTAATATTTTATCATGTTTTACAGGGTAAAAATAAATATTTGAACATAGAATCCAGCTTTCAGCAGTTATTTTAACATTACCTGTTAATAGCAAATAGGTCCCATGCCAGTAATTCTCGGTCCAGTCAATAATCGCGCAGTGATACATTCCTTCATCTTCTTGAACTGTGCTTAGAATTGTCAGACTGCTGATGTCTTCATTTCTTGATGCATGCACTCTTGAGGAAGAAAAATCTGGCCCGTAAGCAGGTCCTGCATGTTTTCGCAGCTTTACAATTAATCCCAGCGTCTGGCCTGCATTCTGTTTGTACCAGTGAAGCTCATTATTGCTCATCTTTTCAGCAGGAAGCGAACATGTAAAAGTTGCTGGGTCACCTAGAGGAACTGTGGTCACTGGTACCAAGGTATCTACATCGTATTTTAAAAAGAGAACAACATGATAAACAACTGAGTTGCAAAAAGCCACAACATGAGAGTAAGGTAATAGGGCAACTGAAAACCCAAACAGGTACAAATTAAAATGGCACATATTTATCAAAGTATGAGAACTTACATCCTTGATGAAGAAGAAGCAGTACGACCAACAACTGAATCATCCTGACAAATGTCTTCATAGGAGCAATTTTTCATATTTAAGTTACAGAAGGAGGTCTTATGTTCCTTAGAGCGATCTGATTGGTTATCTCCAAATATACAATGATAGAGCATTTCCTGCCACAGTGGTCTCCCCCCCTCTCCCCCCCTTTAAGATGCGTTGTCCCAAATTCTTGCAATGTAATGATGAAGCTTCAAGTAATTCTCACAGCAAGTTATAAATACAAGAACACTTTTTGTTAAGACATTGCCAGGCAATTAAAGTCGCTACTTAAATCTGGACCCCATATGCAGTCAATCAATAGATATGACAGTCATTGAAGTTCAATCAGTACTCTGTAACAAGGGGTAATAGCTCAACTTTTCAGTTTCTGGACCAGATAAACTGTCTTAGTGTAGCTCATTTAATTACTTTTTCAAGCTTTTAGTTAGAAAAGTTCAACTCTTTCCTTTTAAAAAGAGTCTATGAGTGGCATTAGAAAAACTATTTAATCTTGTCAAATGTGAAAATGTTTATCATGTAAAATGTTGGCTAATTGGTCATTTTTCTATGTTTTTAAGAATAATATTGACAATTTTTTTTTTCCGAGAAAGACTGTCGAGTTGTAGCAAGGTTGTTGCTCAGTGTTGCTTCCAAGTATTGATTCTGTGATTGGAGCCTCTGATACAGATGACAAGCTCTTCTCTACAGATGATGCTGTGCTTAGTGTTCATGCTTCTGCTTTATTTTCCTCTTTCAGTTCAATTCAATTCAGTTTGTTTATATCAGACCAGTAATAGTTTGTTAGAAAATATGCACGACTGTACTGATCATGTTTTAAAATGCTACAAAATCTAAGGTCCTGATGTCGGATGATTGAAACAAGTATTTTAAGTTTATTTTGCTTCAGTATCTTCTTTCAGTATCTTAGAATATTTTTTTTTTAAACAACAAGGCCAAACTGATTGTCCAGCACCATGGACAGTGCCATCCCAGAGGTTGGATTAAAATATACTGGAAGACAGTTGATGTTTACTGTTAGCAGCAAATCTCTAGACTTAGACAAATTTAGAGTTTATGACCATTTCAACAAACTTTGAAATTACTACTGAAATCAACACATGTCTTAAATTGTCTCTTTAAATTGCAAGGCTTCAGTAAAGCATTCGCTTGTCTTTATTTTTGTCAGTCTGCTTTCATCTGTTCACAAAACAAAAACTCGACCCCCGGCCCCAGTTTTCACCCTGGTTTCACTTCAGCTCTTGTACATCTTGATATGTGAAAGAGGTAACCTGGAAAGAAAAAGCCACACAAGAAGAGACTTGAACTTCGTACCTGATTTTGACACAAGAAAGTACTTGCTTCTGAAGCCCGTTCATTGATTCAAATAAGTTCTCTTTTGATGTCACATGTAATTTGAAGTCTAAAAAAAGACGATTACTCTTTGGTGGTGGTAAGAGATCATGGGGCCAGTGTGATTTCAAATTCTTTATTTGAGATTGAGGAAACAAAGGGTAACTGTTTCCAGCTGACAACTTTTACCTAAGCAATGTATGACTTAGCGGGGATTTCCCAAGCAAAAGTCTGAGCTCTATGTACGGATCCTCATGTAAGTCTTTTGAATGCACTCAGTGCTGTAACAATAGCAGCCAAGTTGTTTTGTACCATCCTTTATATGAGATGCTGTTGGTCAGCTTATTTTTCAGATCAGAGAGAATCTAAGGATTATATGGTGCCTCTCTTTCTTAGTGATGAACCTTTGAGTTGCTTCAACACATATAAGTCATAGAACAAAAGTGGACCATGGAGGATGTGAAAAATTAATTAAGTCACCTATTGGCTTTCTCTTTAATTAAGCGACATTTTACACATGAACCTCTAAACTGTATGGACAGTTATTAGGCATGTCTCATTTTTGAGATTTATGATTATTGATCACCAATTACCAGTTTTATGGTTGATACAAAATGTTAATGAACCTCAAACACAAATGTTTAAGAAAGGAAAATGGATCTTTCACTCTTGTGAGAAAAATATCTGTATGTTCACAATTTTTCTGAAGCTATTTTTGCACAGAATTATTAAATAACAAAATTAAAACAACACATTTTTCCATCTCACGTTTTTATTTATTTTAGAACTAGAAACAAAAACCACCAAACTTTCCAATAAACATTTGACATTTTTAGCAAAAATCAGTGACCAGTGTTGCCACCCTTCTTTTCACCAACACTGATAAGCTTTCCATTCATGTCAGTTTCTCTTTCTGTTAACGATCCACTTTTTGTGCAGCAGCAAACCACATCCTCCCAGACAGCTCAGAGAGGTCGACTGTTTTCCTTCACTATAAATATCCTGCTCACAAGTTCTCAATTGGGTTCAGGTCAGTTCAGTAAGGGAGCCTTTACAAGCCATGCAGATGAATACTTAGACACATGTGATGGAACATTGTCATCCAAAACAATCATTGTCTTTTTGGAGGACACAGATTTCTTCCTGTACCACTACTTGAAGAAAGTATCCTCTGAAAACTGGCAGTAAGTTTGAGAGTTAATTTCAAACCAGTCTTCAACCTGAAAAGGTTCAACCAGGTTATTTTTAATATTACCAGCCCATACCAGCACCCCTCCTCCACCTTACTTCTTCTGTCTGACTCCAAGTGGAGCTCTGTTCCCGTTGATCCAGCCGCAGCCCCATTCATTTGGTCCAGTAAGAATCACTCTCATTTCATCAATAAAATCCTTTGAAAAAATTGTCTTCGGATATGTCTTGGTTCAGACTGGACCCATCAGCTTAAGTGTCATGTGCAGTAGCGGTCAGGTTTCAGACTTCCTTACCCTGGCAATGTCTCTGGGGGCTGAAGATCTTGTACTTCCAGGTACTCCAGGTAGGTTGTGGCTATGGAATATGATGGAACTGGAGGATAACATGCTCCTGGAAGCTTCATGCTTCAATCTTTTCAAATCCTTTGCAGTTAACTTGTCTTTTATTTTTCTCAACACTTTTCTTGGAACCATGTTTTTTGCCACAAAACATGTGATGGTTCTGTGATCATGCAATTTCAAAAGTGATGCATTCTTCGGAGATAAGTTTGGTAATTGTTAACTTTTCAGAATCAATTAAATATCCTTTTTGCACCATTTTGCCTAAATAAAAGAGGCTGCCTAATCATTATCCACACCTTGATATACAATGTTATCCTCCCTTGGCCACATGCGCTCTCATTCACAGGGAGGGTATGATTAAATCCATTAAGCTTGGGGTCAAAAAATACCCCTAAAGATATGATAAAAAATACTTGTTTGCATAAATGTGCACACAGTGTATTTCAACTTGATTTGATAGTTACAGGTGACACCAAAGATCTCGAGTCCAAAAACTGACTGGTGTGAACTTTCTGTCTCTATTGCATTAGGTTACAATTATATTTTCACATTTTCCAAAGGAAAATACCTTTTTCCTTGTGTTTTTTCTTAATAGTTTCAAGATCAAAACCTTGATCATGAATCTTATCAGTTCCTAAATGCTTTTTTTTGCATATAAAGACATTTATTGAATGACAAATAGAAAACAAATATATAACACAGTTGGTAAATTTTTGTTCGCATTAATTTGTTATTTTTAGAAAAATACTTTTGGTCACAAAAGAGTTTAGAGTAGCAAAGAAAGCCAGAAATGACAAGAAGACCTGGACAAAATTGTGAACAAAGAACATTACATTTCAAGTATCTTACAGGTAGGCAGAAACAAAACAAAAAAAAAACCTAAATATTTTCTTACAAAGACAAAACATATTCATAAAAACATCAACACATTGTTTTTAGCATACAGTCGAAATATGATAGATCTTATTTTATTCACAGTTCTGCTTATTTTACTAAAGCAATATGATCTAAACAACTATCTATTCAATGTTTAGTTACAGGTGACACCAAAGATCTCGAGTCCAAAAACTGACTGGTGTGAACTTTCTGTCTCTATGGTTGTTTCAGGGATCCACTTCCTGGTTTCTTATGCTGAAGACAACCACAGAGTACAACTGTCCATATTCACCCCCCTTGGAAAATAGAAAAGATTGATCAAAATATATAACTACACAAAATTTAACTATTAAAATTAAAATATAAATGTTAATACTTTACCTGTCGTCTTTTCTCACGACCATAGTACTTGCGTAGGTCAACACCAGCTGTTTTTTGGAACAAAAATATATATTAATAGGACTGATGCACTTTTACACAGAAATTAACTGTTAACTTGTATTACCTTTGTTGTCCATATTCTTGCTTGTGCTAATGGAGAATATCAGCACAACTGTTGAAATAAGACTTAAAGCTAAAACCACGCAGAATGGAAGAAAAGCTGTGTTGATATCTTGGAACCACAAGTTGAACCCTAAATCATTATTTAAACAGGAGGGAAACTTGAGTTACAATGAGTAAAAGCTAATTGCCTTTGTAGTTACTGTCACATTATTTTTTTTTCCAATATCCATTGTTAATTCTCAGTATTCTCGACACCATCATACATAAAATAGAAAATTATCATACATCAAAACTATACAGTTACCTTGAACTTTGGCTTTTGTTCCATTTCCAATAAATATTTCTCCACATGTGGCCACAGCGCAGTAGTAAGTACCGTTGTCAGTGGAGCTGATGTTTTTAGAAAATGCACATCTCCTCTGAGAGTCATTTCTCTTATTGCAGTCATCATGCTTGTTTCCATCTACATAAATGATGTGTGGATGGGAGTTGTGTGATCTGGCTCTGAACCAGAATACACTGAGGTCTTCTGGACACATCTTGTCAGAATTAGAGAGGACCGAACACTGTAGAGTCACAGAATCTCCTGGAAGGTGCGAATCTGCTGCCGTCAGCTGTTGAACGATAGTATGCTTTGATGTCCTCTCAGCGTTTTCTATTTAAGAAAAAAAATAGTAATCGAAACTTTTTTAGTATCTTTAAACACAATTTAGAAAATTAAGGACAAAGTCAAATTGAAGACATATTTACCCACAGTTTCTCTCTTTCTTGTTTTTCTTAAGTTCTTGGTCTCTGAGTGGCTTTAATTATTTAAAATTTTCATTCAAAAAGTGATGAAGTTTTGGGTGTGGCTTATGCAATTCAAATATAAAATCTTATTTTGATTGTCCCAATGTTTTTTAGAGCAATTACAGGTGAGCATATAGAATTGTAGTGGTACTGGAAGTGATTTTCCAATCTCACCAGGTAAAATTATATCTGATAATAAACGTAGTGAGAGAGGTGATATTTCATCGTAAGTGACAGAATTGTTCGAAGTTGCTAAAACAGCAACAAATACAAGCACTTATATTTTTACATTACCTTTTAAATACAAATAGGTCCCCTGCCATTCGTTTTCTGCCCAATCGATGGTAGCACAGTGATACATCCCTTCATCTTCTGGAACTGTTCTCAGTATTGTCAGTCTGCTAACAGTCTCATTTTTTGATGCAGTCATTCTTGAGGAAGAAAATTCCTGCCCAAATGCAGGATCTGCATGCTTCCGCAGCTTCACAATCAATGCAAGAGTATCCCCTGTAGTCTGTTTGTACCACTGGACTTCATTGTTGCTCAGCTTATTACCAGGAAATTGGCATGTAAAAGTTGCTGGTTCACCAAGAGCAACTGTTTTCACTGGGACCAACATATCTGCATTTTGGAAAGAAGTACGACAAAATTTAAAAAGTAAGATTCGAATAAAGAAAATAGCAGACAATAACAAAAGAAATGTAAAATAAAGACATTAGCTGTCATTAATCTAATAGGAAATCAACTACATGAAACATTTAAATGAATGCGGGTTTAACTTACATCCCTGAGGAAGGAGAAGCAGTGCAACCAACAAAAGATCCATCTTGACACTACCTTCTTTGACAGACTTGTTCTTGCCTAAGTTAGAGAAGGAGGTGTGGTGTTCCAGGATGTCTTTGTTTTTTTTGGGGTTTTTTTAAATATCCAATCAAAGAACATTTGTCGCCACAATCACTCTTCCCTTTTCCGGTTCTTTGTCTTGATTATTGTACTTTAATGACTGTAAAGTCACCAAGACATTGTATAAAATTTATGCCATGTCACTATATTATCTCACCTCATGCAGATGTGTTAGTCGTAAATGTCTGAAATCTGTACAGGCAAATTATTTTGTGTATGCATCACTGGACATTATTAGGTTGTGATAATCAGAACATATAGGAAATTGTTCAAAATTTGCTCATATTTAAGGGGTTATTTATAGACAAACACAAGAGTCTTTGCATTTTAACCCAAATTTCTGTCTATAAGAAAGCTTGCCAACTCCTTACCGCATTTAAAGCCGCGTTCTCCTGTTTGTGAAGTCAAAGTGAGTGCTCACTATTGATAACCAGTAATACAGACAAACCAGTAATATAGCTCATTAATCTATTGTTTAGCTTTATAAATTGACATGGTGGACATGCACTACAACAAACTCAATCACTAGACCAAAATATATTGTCATATTTTATTGGGAGTGATCAACTGCAGTCCTCAGTGCTTGACATGCTGAAGTTTTAGATCTATTACAGCTCCTACACATAACAAAAAATGGAGACAACTAGCAAATTCAGGGAGACTTTCTCAATCAATGCCTTAGACATTTTTACTCATAGTTAATGCTACTAAAATCTGATAAATAAATTACACAAGAAGGTCCTTGCTTTAAATCTTGGTCTTAGTGTTTTTCTGCATGTAGTTTGTGCGTTGTCCGGGTGCATCCCTGCATTCTTTCTGGGAACTCCAGCTTTTTCCAATAGTCCAAAAACACAAAAGATTGGTCTAAATTGTCCTTATGCATATGTGAAGTGTCACAGTTGTTTGTCCTGTGTGTCTCTGTGTTTCCCTCTGAAGGAGTGGCAACCTGTCCAGTCTCATAACCGCTGCGGACTGGCAATCAATTGCTCAGCATTTCAGGATTTGCAAGATAATCACTGAACGTCTGAAGGTCAAACTTGGTTGGAGTAAAAACCCTCCTGAACGTCTTTTTTGCCTAATGACACTTACCTCATGTCTTCTTTTGCTCTAAAAACCCAAAGTTACAAAATACCCATGTACATCTGAAACTTGCCTCAAGCCTCTAGCAGGTAAATCCAATAGCAGATGCATTGGCTTTTGCAAAACAATCATTTTGCTGAACAATAAGCAATTGCTTATGAATGTATTTTCAACATTTCCCTATGGGGTCACAAAAAGCTAATAAAACATAAATATTGAACACAGCACACATATACTGAACAACAGCATGTTTGCTTTTATTGGTAGCAGATAAACAAGTTTTCTTCAGAATTTTAATCTTAGAAATGACATGTGAAAGCAACCTACAGGATCATGACAGCTAGTTATCAGGTCAGAAAACCAATAATTCCTGATGATTTTCTCAAACAATTTAAAGGCATCTTATCAGAACTTCCTTGATAATCCTGTTTACTGTCTTTTTTTTCTTTGTGTTAATATTTTAGAATGTGTGTTTTCATGAAAGTAACTTTTAAGAGCCAAGTACAGGTGTATACTAATTAATATATATTTGACTAGGACACAAGGTTGTCATTTTTTAATTGCATTTTTATGAAGAAGAATTAACAGGTGGTGCAGACTTTTTGCAGCCGAGTGGCTCCACATGTCAGTACATCATCAGGTGGCTTCAGCATGTTACTTGTTTCTGTAAAAGGACTCAGAAAACAACACAGCAGTCTACTGATTACAGTGTCTACCATCGCAAAGCAGGGATTGTAGATGCATGAAAGCTGGAACTGCAATTTTACCCCATCAGTTCAGTGTTGTTGTTTCTTTTGACAAAGATGGCTTCCTTCACCCCTCTTTAAAACTATTCTCTCTGTCCTCAACCTGGACATAATGTCATCCAAGGTGTGGTGCAGTTGGCGCAGTTTCCATGCATTGGCGTTATGCTAATGCATGGCACGATGCAGGCACATGCTGAAAATAAAACCCTTTGGTTTAACCTGACATAGCCAGACTATCTATGCTGTTTCCTGCGGAAGCTTCGTGACGACCCATCCCCACCATTCTACTTCTTTCTTTAGCACACCATGTTCTTCAAGAGACAGAGGACACTGCCAGCATTCAACAACAAGCAAGTGTTTGTGGTGGAAGCTCCAGCAGTGCACCAATTATTGAAACACAATTATCTGTATCTGATCAAAGGTTTCACCCTCAACCGGCACACAAGCTGATAAGTGAAACAAGTAACCTGGATACAAAAACCACAAAAGAAGACTCGGAACTTTAGCCTCATTTTTGGACAGCAAAAGGAACTGTATGTCGTATAAGCAGGACTTGTGCTTGACATAGGCCACAGACAGTTGCATTGGGAGGCAGCATCTGAAGGGGGTGCTGCTGCAACAACTTGCAGAAAAATCATAGACTGAAATAAATATCAATAATGTGCTGTCCTGACTGGTTCCCTTTTCTTGTGCTTTGTTAAAAATAAAAATAATTAAAATATAAACAAAAATCCTTCTTCCTTCACGCCGTTATTTACATTCTGATGCTTCTCCTTTTTCTCAATCAAATTTGGCAAAAAGAAAATTCCACCCATCTACAAATGTGCCATGATCAGTTAATCCAAGGGAAGTTGATAAATAAATGTTTAAATCAATTAGCTTGTGTTTCAGTAAATTTGAAAACTGTTAGTGATTGCATGTTCCTGTCTAGCATGTTCCTTAAGTTGCAGTAGATGAGTGATGAAACATTACAAATAAAAAGCACATGGTCTAGCTCTCAGAGGATTGGCTGCAGAACCACTCTGTGAATATCCTGGAGTGACCAATCCAAAGTCCAGACTTGAATCTGATTGAGCAGATCTTTGGAAAGGTCACAAAATGTCTGCACAGACCAACCCCATCCAACCTGATGGAGCTTGAGATGTACTGCAAGAAGAATGAGCAAAACTGCATAAATATAGATGTGTTGACTAAGCTTGTGGTATCACGTTTAAAAACACTTGAGGCTGTAATTGCTGCCAAAGGTGGATCACCCTCCCTGGCATAAAGCAAAGGCTATGAATACCTACATGAATGTGATTCATTGATTATCTATTTTTCATAAATGTACAAATTGCTCAAAAACTATTTTCCACATTTTCATAATGGGGAACTTGTGAGTAAAATATTAAGGAAAGAGATTAATTTAAAATAATTTGTAATAAGGCTGTAATATGACAAAATGTTGAAAAAGTGAAGAGCTGTGAATGCTTTCTGGATGCATTGTATTTACTAATACTTATTGCATTACTATAATGTCAACAAGCAGAGCTGTTTCAGTTTGAAAAAAATGTAATGTATTTATGTTTTTTCTTGTTATAACCAAGGTGTTTTAAGGTATATTTTATCTCGGTAAATTAGGCGGAAAAGCTGAATTTTAGTTTATTTATTAAAAATCACCATCCATCCACCATTATATCAACATTTATACTTCTTTTTTGAACAAAAAAAAGATGCTAGTATTTATTGTTTTTATTAAAAAAATGTTGCATCTGTAACTAAATATCCAGCTGAAATCACTTTGAAAGATTAAAAACAATACAAGCAAGAAGGTAGAAACTTTTGAGTCTGTGAAAATACTGCAAATGGCAAACATATGCGTTTACTGTATTCTTTAGAGTATAGAACAACAAGAAGAAAATATTTTCATTTTATTCACTCCCTCTGTGAGATTTATTTTTTTAGTGTTTCACTTGTGAATACACACTCTCTTCAGTCTCCATCTCTCTCTTTGGTTTTCCTTTCGTCCTTTTAGCTCCAGAGAAACGTAACGCAGCATAGTTTAGCTCATGTTCCTCTTCAATCTGTCAAGCAAATGAAGGATTTATTAAAAATGTTATTACTATACCAGATGGGTTGTTAATATTTCATTACACATCGACAATTAAGTTGTTTTTTTTGTTATTTTTACTTACAGTAAAATCTTTTGACTGCCCCCGGGTGGTTTGTTTTGCTCGAGAACAAGAGGCTTCTTTCCCTGCGTATCCGCAGAAGAGAAATATGGTCATGTACTTAACCCAGCATTTTGTTTGATTAGATTATTCATAATATACTAGAAGCATGTTATTTCACACTGTGATAACAGAACAGCATGTTAAACCAGTTCATGTCACTTTAATTTATAGTTTTCTCCAAAACCATTTAAGAATCTTTCTTGAATAAATGCCCTTTTGTATTTACTTTTATCTATTTTTTATGAAAAGTGTCATTTAGCACTTACCTTTAACAAGTTTGCATGATGATCTTTGGATTTGGCAGCAGAAAAATATATTTATAATCACAGAAATTACCAAGCAGGTAATTGTTATCACCAGGGTGATAAAGTCATCTTGAGATGTAGCTATAAATGAAAGATGCACAAAATAGTTATAGTTTCTGAGGAAAACATAAAAACATTGTTTATCTAATTTCATCACTTGCTTACATTAATGTTATTAAATGTAAACACAAAATCGTACCAACATCCAATTGTGTTCCATTCCCAAAGAATATCTCTCCACATGTGGCCACAGCACAGTAGAAAGTCGCATCAGAGGCGTTGACCGTCTTAGAGAAGTTATACACACATCTCTGCTGAGAGTCCAGTTTCTCTTCACATTTGTTTTCTCTGTTTCCATCAGTGTAGATGATG